CCCTCCCTCTCTCTCTCCATCCCTCCCTCCCTCCCTTCCTTTTTTCCTCCCTCTCCCTGTCTTCTCCACTCTCCCCTTCTCTCTCTGCTTAACTCTCTAGCCATAAAAATCTGAATTGTACAGAGTATAAAGTTATCAAGAATTATCTTACTCATTTTTAGCACTTAAGGAAACAAGAACTGTGCCATAATTTGGTAGAGTCAACATTGTTGAATGAGTCAGGGAGCAACTATTAATACATTCCTGGAGAACTCTTAAAAATACTAATGAAATGTAAAAGTTATATCAAATTCTCATTACCGAAGACTTGTTGGCCATCATTTAGAAAGACATTTTGAGTATGGAAAAAATATTAAAACTTCATTAAAAGAGGGAAATTATAAAATCAAGTGTGTATTCCCATCACTGATTCAATAAATCTAATGCATTATTTGTCACATTCGATTTATCTACTCTTTTTGTTGTTGTTGTTGTTGTTAATTCCTGAGCTATTTTTAAGCAAATCAAAGACATTGTGAAATCCCGCCCCCAACTGCTTTGGTATAAATATCTGAATTAGGATTTTTTTCTTACATAAAAACATCTCAGGCATATATAATTAAAATGATAATTATTTAAAGTTATCTAATACCTACTTCATATTCAAAGTTTTCCTGATTGTTAAAAACCAGTTTACATTTGGTTTGTTCAAACTAAGATCTAAGTAAGTTTCACAGGCTGTATTTTGTTATTACCTGTTGATTCTTTTTTGAGCTTTCTTCAGTTTTATGAAAAAGTTATTCTTTTCTAGAATCATCTCTTGACCCCACCACCTTTACAATCACCTACTTGAGAAACCAGGTTGGTTGGTGCTCACTTTAGATTGACCTGATTGCTCCGTGAGATACTTTATCATTCCTCTACCTCCCATTTTTCTTATAAATTAGGACTGAGAGCAGAAAGCTGGATTAGATTTATCTTCATCCTTTTAATGACTGTAACATATTTATCTTTAAAAGAAGAATATGTGATCTAAAAATTCTTTTAGAATATAATTACATGTTCATTTTATAAAAGTAGAAAATGTGAGTAAAAGGAAAGAATTAAAATTTGTTAGCTGTAAAAATACTATTAAAATTTTGGGTTAAATTTATTTATTTATTAATTAGCAAAGCATTTGTTGTTATATTTTAGGTATGCATAATTGGGTTAAATCAACAAAAGTTTATTGTAATCTTAATCATTTTAATGTATTTTCATAAAGAATATTATAATTTATATTCTTCTATTTCCTATGCTGTTATATATCTTTATTATTATGTAATTGCTAGCCAGGGATTATTATTATGTTTTAAAAGTTATGTACCAAATGTATACATTGTAAGCATATAATTAAATGACTTGTAATAAATGTATGTGCATTCCGTAACCAATGGCCCAAACAAGATAGAGAACATTTCTATTACCCTAGAAGTTTCCCTCATACCCATTTCCAATTATATGTCCTACAGAAAATTTTTGTTCCGATTTCAGTCATCAAAAATGAATTCACCTGTTTCAAACTTCTTTCTAGCTGGAATTTTATAGTGAGAAAATTATGAGTTGTGTTAAAATAGTACTACTTGTAATGATGTACATAGTTTAAGAATACAGTGAGTTAAGAAAACACAAACCAAATTTTGCTCAGAAACCTTAGTAAAGTGCAGTTTGGAAAGTTGCTTTCTCTGATGAGATTTCAGAGTAACTTTGTGGCTTGACATTCAGGACCAGCTGTTCCCCTTATCACCCTGAACGTGTTTGGGTCTTGTCCATAAATATTCAGTAATATAATCCCCAGCATAGTTAGGGAAATGGGATATGATAGAATGTAAAACGAGACCTTAAATTTCTCAGTGTGTTAAGATAAACCTTGCGATAAAGAGCAAGATACATCAGTAAAAGTTGTTAACCGAAAGAGATTTCAAGTGCCTGTAATTTGGAACAAATAGCTTAAATGTTGGGTCTCAAATACCATGGGTAAAATGTGCTAATAAATTATGAGCGAATTATGAGAATATAAATGGAATGACATTTTCATGAGCCATGGGAACATCATTGAAGATGAACAAGTAGTTAAGAAACATATGTTGAAAAAAGATAAAAGAGAGATAAAAGAGAAAAGATAAAAGGTACTTGAACATTAAACCCAGTGAAGAGAAAGCACAGTGTGGAGGCACTGCATCCTCTCTTCCTCAAAGGATTAACAGGAAGGTTTGCATTGTAATGTGAAAGCCTCAGGTTGACTAAAATGGAGAACTTCAGCAGAGGGTGGTAAGCATTACCATAGTGTACTGTTCCTGAGAGCATTTTAATTTTCACATTTAAAGAATGAGCAGCAAGTCCTGTCTTGAGGGGGATGGATTGGGTGTTTCATATGTCCTGTTTGCTAATGATACACCAAAGGAAAAAGGAAAGAGCATCTGAGAAGCTATATTGTCTCATATTTTATTTAATCATACCCGTAGCAGATTCCAGCTATATTCTTTGGTGTGTTTCAGCAAGCTCACACACACATACACACACACACACACACACACACACATGCTACCAAAGAAACAGAAGTATGCGATTTAATTTACATTTGCTAGATTAGAGGTTGCTATGACAACAGCATAAAATACATATGTACCTTTTTTCTAATTTTAAAATGGCACCAGTTCTCTATTTAGCTCAAAGCATTCTGAAAAAAATAATAAAAAGCAATAAACAAATTAGTTACTAGAAAGACCTATATACCCCCCCAAATTATCCTTTTGTATTTTCTTTTCTTCTTTTCCACTTAAGTCATTCACAAAATACTAATCAATTCAGATAAGAAGTAGTGTTTGATACTTACACCAGAACAGTAACCAAAGCCAACCCACAGAGATACTCCCATTTATGTTGTCCTGGGGCAGGTGCAGTGATGTTTTAGTTCTCTGCACGGCAAGCATTTTTAGAGTCTAATGAGGTGTTAAAGTTGCCTCTGACTCCTTTGCCTATTATCCTTGACTAGAGACCCAGAATAGGTAACCAGATCCTTGTAATAAGCAAACTAATTTTAGAAAAGTAACTTAAAGGGATGAGTAATTACTGTATTTATGCTGATTAAGAAATTACCATTGATTTCATTTTTTCTTTTATCATTTATTTTAAAAATTACTTCATGAGGAAAATTATCCTGGCAAGCTCCTGAAATTGAATTTTCAGTCCTGAAATGAATAATAAATGATAGTAGAAGAATTTACCCAATATCTGAGCAAACTCATGTTCGTGAATACCAGGTATATATACCTGAAGTCCAAGATGGCATTGAGAGGACAAAAGGACAGAGAAAGATGAGAGAGAGCAAGGGTCTGTTAAGGAAGGGAGAGGGGATAGTACACACTCACCATCAATGTAAAAAAAAAAAAAAGAACTACAAATAGTTGAGCTCATTCATCTTGCTAAATACAACCTCAAAGATATTTCCTGATAATTCCTCTAAGAATTGAATCCATAAGCATGGTCCTAATAGGATTCAGTTGGTTGCTGCATTACTCAACTTTCCCTTGCCCGAACGAAACACCTGGCACTTGAAACTTAAAGAAAGACAGGGGTATTTGGGCTCCCAGTTTCAGGTGTTTTAGTCCATGGTTGGCTGGCTTCAGAGCACGAACATCAGGACAACAGGATGTGATAGAGCAATGCTCTATCTGGGCATCCGGGAAGCAGAAAAGGGGAAGCCTACCAGAGAGACAGTGACTGGTGACCAGGTGTACTCCCTAGTGCCACACCAGCATGACCCAACTGCACACATCCAGAGTGTACTTTTCTAATCTCTTAGGTGGCTCGCAAGCCAATCAAGTTGAGGACCAAGATTGACATTCATATTCACAGTGACGTCTATATTACTAGGACAAAAATACCAGACTTAAACATCTTCAAGGAGAAAAGGTACACATTTGGGCTCATGGCTTGGGAAGTTTGAGTCTGTGGTCAGTTAACTTCAAGGCAGACACAACGCCAGAGAAGAAAGCTGCTCACCCCAGTGCAGCCAGGAAGCAGAGAGTAAAGGAAGAGCCAGAGAGAGGAAAAGGTCTGGGGACAAGGGTACGCCCTCCTGGGTCATACCCTGATGACCTACCTCCCTCCACCAGGCACCACCTCCTCCAGCATAGTGAGCTGTTTATTAGCACATTCTGCACATTGGTGCCCCTAGGACCTGATCACTCACCAGAAGTCTTTCCTCTGAACACATGAATCTTTGGGGGTACATTCTTGGTCCATACCATAAGAAGTAGGTAGTTAAAATGCCTGTAAGTATGCACATTCCTTCTTGCAGAATCTTCTAGTGATGAAATTCCACGAGTAATGCTTAGGAATTCATGCTTCTAGTTACACCTTTACTAACAGGATCGGGGTCAGTTTAATAATTAGCTTCATGTAACTAATCCAACCACTGTCATCAAGAATCTGTCTTTTAAGCCGGGTGTGGTGGCACACACATGTAATCCCAGCACTCCAGAGGGTGAGGCAGGAGGATCGCCGTGAGTTCGAGACCAGCCTGGACTACATAGTGAGTTACAAGTCAGTCTCAACTACATAGTGAGAACTTGCCTCAAAAAACAACAAACAAACAAACAAATAAAAAGAATCTGTCTTCTGCAGGAAAATGCATGCAGTAACCTATCTTTCCTAGGCCTCAGATTTATGACTTATTCATCTGAATGATAGTAAGGTTTATAATACTGTGAGCAAGAAGAAAGTGATATTCTAGTCCAAGTGGGAAAAAGTGTGACTACTTTTTTTCTTTATCATTTATCATATTTAATAGCATCACATGTCCCCTTACTGGTTTAAAGTTGTTAGTATTACAACTTGATATCATCCAAAGCAAGATTTATGTTTCAAAGAGGAAAACAATTAATTTTTGTGTTTTTTTAAAGACCGAAGTATGCATTGTTAGATGAATGTACCAGTGCCGTCAGCATTGATGTTGAAGGAAAGATATTTCAGGCTGCAAAAGGGGCTGGAATATCCTTACTGTCCATAACGCACAGGCCCTCTCTTTGGTAAGTATTTTCCCGTCTGGCTGATCTATGACAGATGGTTTCTCCTTGGGTTTTTTTGAAGAACTTTGCAAAACTTTTCACTGTCTAACATGAGGCATTTTGCTTATTTTCTTAGCTGTATTCTACATTGTACCTTAATCCTATAGTATTTAGATTCTTTAAATCTATTATGGAAACTGTAATGTGTTATTTGGTCATTGTCATCATTTTCTAGTAATTTATTTGAACTGAAAATATTTTATCATAATCCTAGCATATACTAAGAAAGAATATATTTATGTATTTTCATATCATTCTTGTAGTCCTTTTTTTTTTTTAATCCAGGGGTAGGGGATGGGAAATATATGACAATTTGTTATTTCCCCAAGTGATAAAGTTATAGACTACATGGGGGGAAGCCTATTTTTAAGTAAAAATGAGCTGATCTTTTTTTCTACATAATATTTCATGAAATTTAATAGGATTTTCCCCTTTTTTAAAAAAAAGACTATTTTTATAGTTACTTTTCCATTGATTTATCATTGTAGTAACAGTTGTTAATGAAGACTTAGCACCTATTTGGGGCCAGGTTCATTTTATGTAAGCCTCACAACAAACCAATGGACTATAGGTCATATAATACTCCAATTTTAGAAAGAATCTGAGAATTAGAAATGTGAGAAAATTAGCTTCCACAATAACATGCTCTGTGCTATGATACACACCTATACCTCCCGTAAAAGAACTCAAAAGGTGTCTCGTACGTAAGCCATAAAAATACTTGTTTGTCCCTACTTATGTATTTCTGTTTCACCAATCAGAATCTTTCCCTTTTGGCGTATGAGTAGCCCTATGCCTCATTCTTGCATGTGCTTTGGTCTGTTTCCCAAAGGACTGTGCAGGCTCTCCCACCACCGCTGCCACCACCACCGCTCCCCTCCCCGTTATCCATCCCCCCTCCTGCATTCTGCAATAGGTGGCTGATCAGATCCCATGACAAAGCTGGCACTGTATGTGGCTACCAAGCTAGCCTAGTAGCAACCTTTGCATTCATCCTTGGAGCCCTTTATACCTGTTTTCCTATAGGAAATGTTTACATTAAAATTATGAGGGAACAGCGTTTGTTGTTCAGTGTTCTTTGACTCTGGACTTCATTTCCATTGAGAGTATACTAATCTATTTTCACTGCATTTATTTATTGATGTTTTGGTTTTCTGAGACAGGGTCTCACTGTGTTGTTTAGACTGACCTGGAACTCACCTTGTAGCCCATGCTGGTCTCGAACTCGCAGCGATCCTGCTGCCTCAGCTTCCCGAGTGCTGGGATTACAGGCGTGCGCCCCCACTCCCGGCCTCTCACTGCATTTAAACATGCAGATTTTTCAGAATTTTTCCCCCTCAGAAAGTAGGTCTGAAAGTAGAACACTTCATAAAGTGACCCTAACTTTGTGGTTTTTCTCTGCATTGTTAAGAATCAAGGGACATCTAGAGTGATGGGATGTGCTGATCTCCCCAGAGGCGGTCTGGACCTAGTCCAGCATGCATTAGTATTCACGTCAACGGACAGGATTCTTCTCACTTTTCCTTGAGAAAACCAACAGATCCTGGGTCTTTAAGACAAGTATGACATTTTACTATAAATCCTCTAAATTAGGGATGACACAGAGCCAGACCAGAACTGTGGAGCCCTTTTTGTCATGGACCTGTGAGTTCCAGACAAGCTCCCAAATGCCACATGTTGGCATAAAAAAGAGTTATCTCTTTGAGATGATGTTTTTCTGGCCTTTATCAATGGCTTTATTATGCTATCTTGTCATTTTTTTTCTTCACTCCATTAGCCTTAAGAGACAGTGGAAATATTTCAGTCATTTTTTTCTCAATTAGAGGAACAAATAATTCTCTAAGAAAATAGCAAAATCTGTAATGTTATGTCTTTTAATAAGAAAACATATTTGATTGCAGTTGCCCATAGTTCACTTCTCCATAAAACTAAACACTATGTTAGTTCTTTGTGAATTAGTTTAACCATTTTACAGAAAATGTCATTTCTCTTTATCTTTTCTCTCAGGGAAAGTAAAATTCTTATTTCCTCTGAAAAGATTTCAGAAAGTAAGAAAAGATTCGTTATGTTTTCTAACATAACAACAGATGGGTAATTGTTGATTATAAAGATGAAAATCAACACCAATGTCTAAAGGAATAAAAAACAATAGCTTATTGAATCATTCCTAAGTTTTATCCTATTTATAAAGGAAGTCTATAGGTCATCTCTAATGAGTCAGTGAAAAGAGCCATTCCTTTTAAATTCCTCTGATTATCCTAAACCTTGAAATATTATTTTAGCTAATACTACAGAACATGCCTTTGACTCTCAGGGCAAAGAACACCTACAGAGTTTGTTCCTCCCATGTAGAAATCAAATAATGTTGCAGGACCAGAGGGATGAGTTAAACCTTCATTATACAATGAGGCAGAGCTCACCCAAGAGATGAATGCCTACAACCTAAGATCGATTCTGGCTGTGGATCCAAGCTAGGATAGCCTGAGAAACGTTGAGGAGGAAATAAGTAAGACAGACACTTTGCCATTATTTCTCTTTCCTATTGCATTCCATTACTTTTGCCTTAACTTTCATATTTAGTAAGATTTTTTTGGCATTTTTCCAATTGACCTAGAAACACACAGCTTTCAATTTAACTTTGGGGTGGTCCCAGCTGCTGGGACACAAGAGTTTTGGAAATCTGGAGAAACTGAAGGTATAAGGAGAAGACTATTAATCTGTGTCATGTGTCATCAAATTTAAACTGTCAGCTTGACAGTCACCTTACTTAATCAGTTAACCTAGCTAAATTTCCTCTTTTTAAAACATCCGATTTAAAGAGAATTGAGGCTGGGGGTTGTGGTCTAGTGGTGCAGTGCTTGTTTAGCATGCACAAAACCTTGACTTTGATCGTTGCCCAAAGTGTGTGTAGGGGGTGTTAGTCACTTTCTCATCACTGGGCCGCAATACCGAACACCCACGACTGAGAGAGGAAAGGTTTATTTTGGCTCACAGTTTCAGAAGTTTCAGTCCATGGTTGTCAGGTTCAAATGGAGAAATGGGATGGTAGGAGGTCCCGCCCTGGAGGAAAGCTGTTCACATCATGGCAGCCAGGAAGCAGGGAGAGAGGAGAGCGGAGCTGGGGAGCGAGGTGAGTTCTTCCGGGTCACAGCCCCGGTGACTGCCTCTTCTCAGATTTTCTAACAGCATGCTTATCCACAAACTCATCCGTGGGTCAGCCAGTGGATGAGCACAGCTTATCAATGATCCAGCCACCTTCAAAACACATGAGACTTTTGGGGGACACGTTCTGGATCTAAGCCATCACGAGGGGTGTGGTATACAGAAGTCCATCAGTCAATGAGTAACAGAATGTACAATGCTGATCAAGGGAATATAATTTGGCTATAAAAGCCAAGGAAGTATTGACACACGCTACAGATGAATGAAACCTCAAAATCATTTTGACAAGCCAAAGAAGCCAGCAACGAAAGCCACGTATTGTGTGATTCCATGTATATGAAATACTTCAAATAGAGAAATTCAGTGCCGGGGATTTAGCTCAGTGGCTCTGCTCCCTGCCTTGCAAGTGCCAGGGCCTGAGTTCAATCCCTGGTACCCAAAAATAAAGAAAGAAAGAAACAAATAGAGAAATTCAGGAGACAGAAAGGAAATTAGTGGTTGGCAGGCCCCGGGTGAAAGGAGACATGGTGAGGACTGCTAATGGGGTTTCTGCTGTGCATGAAGAAGATGATCTGAAATTAGGTAGTGGTGACAGTTTCATGAGCTTGTGCATCTACTAAAAACCATTTAATTGTTCTCTTTAAAGGGTACATTTATGTCGTGAAAATTATATCTCTGTTTTTTAAAACAAAGAGGTAGAAGCTTTCCTGAAAAAGGTTCAGTAGTCTTAGTAAGTAGTAATAGATGGGAGTTTAACCAGAAGCAAGAATTAAGACGGCCTACAAAAGAAGACAGAAAACCAGAGTCCTGGGTCAGTAAAGCAAAGTGACACTACGCATGTGGCCCAGCCATGGGGCCCAGCTCTCTACTTCCTGTCTTCACCCATCTCCCAAAGACTAGTGACATCCACCTCTCCTCTTCAGAGAAGATGAGTTGCTTCAGCCTTCATTAATAATAATAATCACACAACACTGTCGATCCTACCTCTAACCGAGCCATAAAAAAAGAAATTAAACCACACAAAGATAGGAAAGAATATTTAAAAGATTTGTAGCAATGAGTTCATTTTTAAAAATGCTTTTAAACTGCCATTATGGAAAAATTTTTTACTTATGGAGAAAAACTCATTTCCAAAGAAAGGCAAAATAATAAATTCCTATTTAAAAAACTTTTTTCCTTAGTGTTTCTCTGCATGACCTTTTTAATGTTTTACTTTTTTTCCTTGGTTTCTTTGGCTTACTTCCATTCTAAGAATACTTTATTATTTAAGAATGAGCCATACTCGGTTATAAAGATAAATTAATACAGGGCCAGGGATTTAGCTTAGTGGTTCGGTGGCCTGCCTTTCAAGCGCAAGGACCCGAGTTCAATCCCCGGTACCAAAAACAAACAAACAAAAAAAGATAAATTAATACACATAACAGCATAGTGTTCCTTTGTAATTCTTATACATTCAAAATATGAAATAAATTTAATACAATCAATGATAATTTCCTGAAGATTAATGCCTTTTGAATTTTAGAATATTATAGTCTTTAACTTCTTGTAATATCCTTGAAAATCAAATGTAAACCAGGCACCTTTACTTAAAATTTGCCTTTGACTATCAATTAGAATTATAAATCTGTAACAAAAAATTGTTTTTCACAATTATGGCTAATAATATTATTTCATTTTAATCATGCAGGAAATACCACACTCATTTATTACAATTTGATGGTGAAGGAGGTTGGCGCTTTGAACAATTGGATTCTGCTATTCGTTTAACATTAAGTGAAGAAAAACAAAAGCTAGAATCTCAGCTAGCTGGAATTCCCAAAATGCAGCAGAGACTCAATGAACTATGTAAAATTTTGGGAGAAGACTCAGTGCTGAAAACAGTCAGAAGTGAAGATGAGCCATCCTAATTTGTATTGACATGTTTTAAAAGTTAATTTTTAGGTAAAGACTCACAGATACCCTGTTTTAGTGCATGCAGTGTGTTAAGCTAAGCACAGAGAAAACAAAGCCAGCAAGAAATATTTTATACGACTTTAGCATCAAAGAACCAGATGGTCTAACTTTTCAGAAGAAAATAAACAAATGCATGATGTGAGATTAGTCATCATGGCTTACACTAATTCTTAGTGAAAGCCTAATTTACCTGTAAAACAGGATTTTCTAGGTGAATTCATGGTGAACACCAGATTACTATGTGTATGAGATGTGTCTGACATTTTTAACTGGAGATACCTCTTGGAAATGCAAACTTAAGAGCAGCAGTTGGGCTAATATCGGGTGCATAAACATTAGAACTCTGAGTACCATGGAAGTCTTTTCATGACTGATATTAGGTTTAATAACTATATGTTCATCATTGCTAGTGGCCAAGTAAAGCTTATACAAGCTACCTGAAAGTTTAGGAAGTCTTTCAAGATAAAAAATATTTTAATGGCAGTGGTTGAGAGGAAAAAAGTATGGCTAAACCAGCATAAGACGCCATTTTTTAAAAAGTTAAAACTTTGAGTATCTTAATGCAAGGACATAAAAATTTCAATGAGAATCTTCCATATTTCTTAATGAACCCTTTCATTTTTAAAAGAGAATTGCCAATATAGAAATAATGTATCCAAAAATGTTTGTCTCAGCCTGGTATTTTGTCAGCACCATTATCTGTTACAATTTCTGTTTAGAAATACTGTTTCACTGTATGTGTGTGCCCAAAGGAGGAGTCCATATTTTAAAAAATGTAATGCTATAATAAATATTGTTAAAAATCACAATAATATTAGAGTACATTTGGAATAGCACTTTATAATTTGTAATCTTCATTAACATCATTTCATTTTAATGTTGGTGGCAATCTTTTGAGAAATATGTTATTTTTCTATTTTGATACTGAGAAAAATTGGCACTCATATTTGCCCTAATTATGTAATTTATTTTGGGGACAGATCTGGGGATCCGATGAAATTTCTCCTGTTCTAACCAGCTTATATTAATAAGGTGGGTTAGTATAGTAGGTGGCAGGAAGTGGGGCTCTAGACAAGGGAGAAAGATGAGGCAAAAGAGCATTCAGGTAGATGTGTAAAACATTTCCACTCAGAACAAATCCCTCTTTCACTGTTGGAAGATTTCCTGATTATCGAGTACATACGACCTTACTGTTTTGATTGTGGAATTTTCATAGCCAGTTTTCCACTTACCAGCTGGAGTGTGTTAGTAAAAGTGAGAAAAATGACTTTAGTGATTAAAATCACTCACTACATGTCCAAACAAGAATGTGGCGGCTGTATATAAATACATTATAATAGCATCTCTAGTCGACGTGCAGCTATTAGACCTGAATATTCCTTGTGAATTCCTTAATCACTATGAAAAAGCCTTGATTAATCAAAGAAACTGCAAATCATTCCAGTGATAGAAAATGCCCCATATTTTATACAGCTGTGTTGGGTCTGTGAGGACACGTACCTCTGTTACAAATTGTGGGGTACAGAACCTTGTGAGGTGTTGTGCACAAAAAGTCATAAACTGGTGTTTAATTTTAATTTTCTTTATTGAGTTCTAAATTATGTCAGGCACTGTGTTAAATCCTAGGAATAAATGAAATATAGTCCCCATCTCAAGCGTACAGGCCAGTGAAAATCAGAAAAATGAATACACTTGATTATAAAGTTAATAGCTACACTTATTACTTATCAAGTGGGCACAAAACATTGCGTATACATTGACTCATTAAACTAATTCAGCCAAAGAGGAAAGTTAAGACAGAAGGGTTAAGTAATTTATCCAACCTCATACAGTGTGCAGGCCATAGACTGAAATTCAACCCTCACAATGTTTGATTAGAAAGCCTATGCAACTCTGTATCGCCTTTCTTTTAATCATTGTACACCATTCATTATTAATTTTTCATGGTACTGAGGACAGAACCCAGGGCTTTCACAGTGAGCCATGTCTGCAGCCCTTCTAAATTGTGTTCACTCATTTTTGAGACAGGATTTCACTAAACTTCCTAGGCTGGGCTCGAATTTGTGACCCTCATTGCATCAGCCTGCCAAAGTGCTGCTGGGATTACACATATGCACCACCATGATTAGCTATTATTGCTGTTTTAAACTGAAGTCTCAGGGTGTGTGGTTAACCAAACCAATTTATTTCTCTGGGATAAAAGGGAATTAATGTAATATAAATTATAATTTTCAAATAAGCTATGGATGTTTCATTATAAATTATGGGATGGGAAAACCATAAGGCAACTTTTCAAATGTTTGAGGAAGAAATGTTCAAACTGATTCCAGTTCACTCATTCAGGTAAAAACTGACACATTCAAGGCATCAGCTACTGTGCTAGGGATTGAGAAGAGCGAGACAGGCTGGGTCTCGGCACTGGTGCAGGTCTCGTACCACTGCTGAGCAACTGTAAGCCTGTTGGCTATCGTGGTTCCATGTGATTGCTTTCTGGTATCTTCTCAGTTCTTGTATGTCCTACCTAAGACCATTCTGGTGTAATCTTTAAGCAATAAACATCTTTTGGCAGCAGGATTTCCTGGATCTCTGGGCATGATAATCCTCCTGCTCCATTTTAGTCTACATCATAAGGCACAGTAAAACCAATCCATAGGACTTGGCCAGTAGGTGCTCCCATGCAGGTAGTATGTTGTCTTGAAACTTGGGAATGATCACCTCCAATCCAGATCAGGGAAAACAAGTCAGATTTGTACACTCAAAAGTGTATTTCTCATGGTCACTCAAAATTCAGATAATTAAGTGAGAAAGTTAGAAAAAGAAAAAGCAATAACTATAAAAGCTAATAAACAGGAGTTCCAAGTTAGACACGACTCTGGATGTTGCCTGGTGCGAAGGAGTTGTGTTTGATCCCCAATATCACACACAAAAAATGGTCTGTCTTGGTTTCTGTGACCCAATACAAATGGAAAGGTGATTAAGTACTCATCTGATATATTTTTATGTGACTTTCATACTTAGAAGACAGAGTCCATAACAATAAACAGAGTACCATTGCTAAATATTAAATATATTACTTGGCCTTATCATTTAAGTATAATTTAATCCATATAAGAAGCAACCTTACATATAAAATATATTTCATCTTTATCGAACATACTGATAAAGTGTATTAGACAAAAAATATCAGACTAAAGAATTATCTTAGGCCTTGCAAAAGAGGTCTATAATCAGCTCTTTTATAGGGAAGGTGAGAGGATTGAGACCTTTTCAACATCCAGATACTAAATCCAGAGCGACACAGGTTGATGAACCAAGTCGCACAGTTATTTTGTTTAGGCTGGCTTGATGCTCAATATCAGCAAAGTTTCCGTGTACCTTATACACAGGCGGCCCTACATAATGAGGTTGATGTCAACCCAAGCAGATACGTGTTTTTTCTGCAACCCACCCACACGAATGCATATGTGCTTCTTCAGAACACAAACATCTGAGGACTTCAGCAAAAACAGAATTCTTTTATTATTATTATTATTATTGTAAAGAATATCCAACACAAAAATTTTCAGCTTTGGCATTTTTAAAAAGGATATTCACACTGCTGTAAAACAGATCTCTTGAAGTCTAAAACCTTATATCCGTTAAACAACTCTTCTCCTATCCCTCTGTCCAACCCTAATAGCTACCATTCTATTTCTATTAATTTAACTATTGTAGATAACTCCTGTAGTGGAGCGTACAGTACTTGTCTTGTCTCGAATGGTTTCTTTCACTTTAGCACAGTGTCCTCAAGATTAATCCACGTTGAAGCACGATACCCTTCCTTAAAGGCTGAATAATGCTCAGCCATATTTTGCTTTAGGGTTGCTGTTACTGCTTGGCGTGAATAGAGCTTCATAAACAAAGACTGTACAATTACTTCTTTCACTCGCCCAGCAACAAGCTGCTGGATTATGCATGTCATGGTGGGACATCCATACAGTTTCACTACGGTTGCACCATTTCACAAACTTCCTGGGGGTGCACACAGGCTCCAGTTTTTCCACAGCCTCACTAACATTTATTATTTTTGACTTTTTTGAAAATAGAGCCATCCTCATTGGGCGGAAGTAATGCTGCTCTCACAAGCAGGGACGCTCTGTGTCTTTTAACGTCTTTATATCATCTTTGGAGAAATGTATTTTCAAGTCTTTACCTAAAGAGTTAGAATGTGGAAACTAATTTCATATTGTCCAAGTCTCACCATGATCTAACTCGGGCTGTTCTTCTTCCAAAAAACTCTCTCCTCATAACCCTTCTTTCATTTTCTGCTCCTCGTCCCCTTGGCTGGACATGGTGTGTAATCCCTTTTACTTTTCTTCTCAGTCATTAATTTGATTTTCTCAGCCAACATGATCCTTGCCCCACTATCTCTGTCTACCTTTAATGACATTTTCGGTCATTTCCAGTTATATATTACTTTTTCCTTTCTATACTTGCAAAGGACTTTATTTGAAATCCTGTCATTACACTTATTACATGCTACCTTTTATTTATGTGTGTAGAATGTACCTTTCCCATTCATTGAATCCATCATTTGTTACTCACATACGCTTTGACTATCCAATCTAAAGCACTTCCCCAAACACCTGGACATCACCCTGTTTTATTTTTATGCCCCATTTCAATTTATCTTGATAGCTTGTTTGTGAATTGATTATGCCTGTCAATTCTACCTGTGAACTCTGTGGGCTTGGATTCTTGCTGGTCTTATTTACTGCAGTATTCACGGCACCTAGAAAAATTCATCACAGGTAGTAGATGCTGGAAGTGTACTTCTTCACTAGGGTCAGAAATGGGAGAGTGAAGGACCAAATATTATGTATTGTGAGAACAAATAAAAAGCATTGAAAGAAAGTCAGGAATGAAGTGGGAAGGGTAGGGGAAAGGTAATAAAGGGAGAAGAAAAAAATATGAGAAAATGAAAAAATGGAAATAAAGTGTTTGTAAATGGGGAGGGAAGGAGGGGGTTAAGGGAGGGCAGGGATAAGGGTAAAAAATGAGAACCAAAACCCATCATGTAAAGATACAAGATCCCAATAATGAATGTAACTGTACTTTATACCTAAAATGTACCAATAAACTCAACAAAAAGAAAAAAGAAAGCCAGGAATGTAGCACATGCCTATAATCCCAGCACCCTGGGAGGCTTAAACTGGAGGATCACAAGTCTGAGCCCAGCCTGGGCAACTTGATGAAATTTTGTCGCACAAAAAATAAATAAAAAGAAAAGAAAAGAAAAAAGGCAAAAGAAGTCACTGAAGGGGAAATTAAAAGAGAATGTATCTTTTTCTTCACATTCTTGTATATTAAACCTACACTGCTATGTAAAATACAATGCTAAGGTTTTTTTGTCTTTTCTGAAAAAACAAAAATTTAGCATCTTGGCAAATTCATACTATTTGCTTTATCTGTTTTCTTTATTACCTGTTTTTTAAGCAATATCATTTTATTTATTTTGGACACAACTACCTCAAATAATGTCTGAACCCAAAGGTACATTTAAAATGGCCCCGCATGTTTTTACATACTTTTTTTTTGGCAGGGGGGTACCGGGGATCGAACTCGGATCCTTGCGCTTACCAGGCAGGCAGTGGAACCACTGAGCTAAATCCCTGGCCCCACATGTTTTTAAATAATAGATTTGAAGTCATTTGTAGTTTCATAACATGAATGCTTCTGACCAGATAGTAAACTGCAAGCTGTATGGAGTCATTTTGAGGCAGAACACAGAGGTCTGGCTCTGGTACCTGCTTCAGGAGATGCTCTTGTTGGAGCCAGAGACCCCAAAGCACAGGTCTTTCCCTTTCTCCCTTCACTGGGAAGCTCTTGGCATCTGTCATGGGTGGTTGTCCAGGGCCAGGAGGTCATAGACACCATACCATCCTTATCATCAGCCCCAGAGACCTCCAGGGGGCTCTTTCTTCAAGTTATTCACCAACACCCTTTTGCTTTCTGTAATGCTCAGTACCAAGAGAACAGCCTGAACAACTACTGGCTCCTGGTGATGAGAACGAAGAGATCAACTCAAGGCAGATAGAAACATTTAACTTTAATAGCATCCAGCAGAAATACAGCGCCTCTCTCTCCACACCACACACCTGGGGTATGGGCCTGTGTGATGATTAGGAACAGAGGCCCTAGAGAAAGACTGCTTGTCTGAGTCTTGCTTTGGTAACCTCCCTGCTGAGCATCTTACTTAACCTCACCATTTCTCATTGTTTAAATGGAGACAATAGTACTTTAGTTATGGCACGTTGGGAGGATTAAGTGTATTAATGCTTATAAAATGCTAAGGAGAAAGGTTGGCATATAGTTATTACCAGTTATGTACATATTAGAATGAGTTACAGAAATAAAAGTATAATTAGTTCCCTGGTGTGAATAATCTGCAATAATACATAAGATCCTAATAAGATTACTGACATTTAGAAATGGGAAGAAAGGAGCTAAAGGTGTAGGGAAGGTGGGATGGGTAGGGGAAGGGTAATAAGGGAAAAGAAAAAAATGTGAGATAATTAAAAGATGAAAATAAAGTGTTTGTAAATGGGGAGGGAAGGAGGGGGTGAAGGGAGGGCAGGGGTAAGGGGAAAAAAATGAGAATCAAGACTTGTCATGTAGAGGTACAAGATCCCAACAATGAATGTAGCTGTATTGTATCCCTAACATGTACCAATAAACTCAATTAAAGCCGAAAAAAAAAAGTATAATTAGTATTTCTCCAGAAATGATTGCTTTTGACTAACTCATAGAAAAAGGAATTATAATTTCAGGGGAGGGGTCGCCATTTTGGGCTGAAAGGCCCAACGTATGACTTTCCAGAGGATAACTAGTTCAATGTCCTATGCATAGTAATTGCTCATTTTATGTTCGTGGAATAAATGATAGATGGACAGAATGAATACATAAATCGAGGTATTAGCAGAAGAGAGATACTAACATGCCCAAGATAAAAAACTGCCTTCTTTGCTATTTTGCCAAGGGCCTAAATGTTAGCTGGCGTGTTGTTAAAATGGTGTGGACTACTGTCTGTGGAATGAGCCCTGCTGGTTGTGGAGGCCTGCAGTTGTACGCAAAATATTGTGCCCTCGATACTAAGCCTCTAAGTTGCCTCTCAATTCGGTTTCTCCAAACCCAGATCTTTTGAGGTTTCTGACCGTCACAGTGTATTCGCTTCATGGTTGTATTGTCAGCATAATCCACACAAGGATAGAGGACATAGAGAGGAGCAAGAAAAACAAAAGCAATGAAGAGAGCGATGGAAGAGAGAAGACAGAGCAACATACAACTGCCGGGTCAATGGGAAGAAGGTTTGGAGAGGAGCGGAGCAGGGTGATTCTGGAGACCTAAGAGCTCCTCACGCTTGTTCCTGTTCATACTTTCCTAAGAGCAGCTAAGTGCCACGCGAAGCAAGCCACTCTTCAAGACGAAATTATCACTATTGCCTGTAATCCGGGCACTTGTGAGGACGAGGATCGCTATGAGTTTGAGGCCAGTTTAGAGTACATAGTGAATTCCCTACACCTTTAGCTCCTTTCTTCCCATTTCTAAATGTCAGTAATCTTATTAGAATTTTATGCATTGTAGGGAAGGTGGGATGGGTAGGGGAAGAGTAAAAAGGGAAAAGAAAAAAATGTGAGATAATTAAAAGATGAAAATAAAGTGTTTGTAGATGGGGAGGGGAGGAGGGGGTGAAGGGAGGGCAGAGGTAAGGGGAAAAAATGAGAACCAAGACTTGCCATGTAGAGGTACATGATCCCAACAATGAATGTAACTGTACTGTATCCCTAAAATGTACCAATAAACTCAATTAAAGCTGAAAAAAAAAATAAATAAATAAACAGCATAGTGAATTCAAGGCCAGCCCGAACGCACTCAAAAAACAAACAAAAAATTGTCACTGTAAATATACGATGACTGATTTCAAAAGCATCCTCAGCAATCCTGCTCTGTTTATTTTTATTTTTTTTGCATTTTTTGTTGTTGTTGTTTTTGAAGTGCCGAGGATCGAACCCAAGGCCTCATGCACACTAGGCTCTGCCACTGAACTGCATCCCCAGCGCTGTAACTTGTTTCTTCATTTAACCCAAT